ATTTTCTATGAACATGGCGTTGGTCTTGCTAAATTCTATCATGTGATCTCCAACTTTGTTTCTAGCAACAAGTCCGTATTTTCCAACTATTGTTCCTTCTTTGTTTCTGACTTTTGGATTCTAATCTCCAATAATTATCAATTCATCTTGTTTCCATGTTCGATCAATTTCACACTGACTTCATTGGTAGAATTCTTCAGTTTCTTTATCACTAGTTTTTGTGGTTGGTGCACAAATTTGAAATTGATTGGATTTCCTTGAAGGCAAATAGATACAATTCTATCACAGACAGCATTATACTTCATGATTGATTTTGCTATGCCCTTTCTGACAATAAATGTCATGTCTTTCCACTTTCCTCATTCAAAATGGCCAATACCAATCCACTTCAGCTCACTAATGACTAGGATATTGATCTGTATGTGTTCTATTTCACTTTTGACAACCTTTAACTTTCCTAGACTCATACTTTACACATTCAAAGTTCAGATCATTAGCATATTTTTGCAGCTGTTCTTCTTTACCCTGAGTCATGCTCCTTCAGCAAATTAAGATCCCAAAGACTTTACATGACTAATATCTCCATAGTTCACTTCACTCCAAAAAGTGAGCTCCTCCTCAGTTGACAAGTACCCTTGGACCTGAGGGGCTCATCCTCTGGCACTGTCTCCAACAAAGTTGGAATCTTTAATTCATTAGACCTTCAGTATCTGACTATGCTTCAAAGCTATGCATAGGATTTTCAGCAGCTACTTCCTCCAAACTGGGAAGCTGAGACCTTTGTTGTCTGTTCTTACACTGGAAGCTCCACTGAAACCTGTTCACTTTGGGTAACCTTGCTGGCATTTGAAATAGCAGTGGTATGATATCCAGCATCACAGCCACACACAAGCCACCACAGTACAACAAACTAACAGGCAAGATGTAGAGTCTTGAAAACCCTAGGAGCTAGTTCTACTCTATCCTGTATGCAGGGGTGGGGAACATCTGGCCCTTGGGACAAATAAAACCCAAGAAAGCCTCACTACAAGCTATCATCACACACCTTACCAAAGGGAAGCAGTTCTATCCATCACATTAGGGGTGAGTTAATTAAAGTTTTGACCCTGGAATTATGTTATAAATATCCAAATGTTCCTTGGCATAAAAATGGTTTTCCATCCTTCCTCTATAAGGTCACGTTAAGTTGGAATTGACTCTTTGGCAGTTGGTTGGGGTTATCTTTATGGGAGCAGTTCACCAGGTCTTTCTCCCATTCAGAATTGCTGGATTGGGTTCAAATCCCCTTTTGGTTAGGCAGTGAACAATGAACTATTGTGCTACCTCCACCTCTGATTACTATTATCTTCACTATTGTGAAGTAAATTTAGACTCATAGAGACTGTCATGAATTCCATTGTGTACCCTCCAAAATATGTCAACTTGCTTGGGCCATGATTCTTTGATTGGCAGTTATATAATGGACAATCCGTGATGTGATAAGCCTATCAGTTGTAAAAGAATGTAGTGTGTGATAACTCATTACAGCCATCAAGTTGATTCCAACTCATAAGGAGCCTATAGAGCTTTCCAGGATGTAAATTTTCACTTTGTCTTTGTCCCACAGAGTAAATCACTTTGTCTTTCTCCCCACAGATCACCTGGTGGGTTTGATCTTCAGAACTTGCCATTTAAAGTTCAACATATACCCAACAACACTACCAAGGGATACAACACTTTTAATCCCATCACAGGAATGATTTACAGGAAGTTTCCCTGGGGTGTAATTTATAACGCCTTTTATCTTGTTTATTAAGTACTATGGAGTGGATTTTGACCTATAGCCACCCCTATGTAAGACAGAATGAAACTCAGCCAGGTCAAGCACCATCCTCACAATTGTTCTTATGCTTGCTTGAACCCACTGACCTTTTAGTTTCTTCTAAGATAAAAGGTTTCTGAATACACAGGAATCTTTTATCTTAGAAAAAATAAAAGGAGAGAGAAGTGAGTAGAGGAGAAGGGATAAATATACAAAAAAATAAATGCTAGAAGTGAAGTGAATCTCATCCTTAGTATCGAGTTTCCTGTGCTACAGCATCCTAAATTCAGGGGAAAGCTGGTACTAAGACTCATACCAATCTTTAAAGAATGCCAGGCAGCATGTGCTGAAAGGAGACAAAGATTTTTCCATCAGAGCTGACAGAGAAAGTCATCCTCTATAGCCAGCACCCTAAATTCAGACTTCTATTCTCCTAAACTGAGAAAATCAATTTTCTTTTCAGAGCCATCCACTTGTATTTCTGTTATAGCAGCACTAGGTAAATAAGAGAGTGACCCTCTAGGACAGAGTAGAACAGCCTTGTAGGGTTTTCTAGACAAATGGAGTATATATCATTCTCCTGCAGTGACTGGTAAGCTTAAATCAATAACCTTTTAGTTTGCAGCCTTGTGCTTAAACCACTGTGCCACCAAAACTATTTAATCTTAAGTATGTTTTTGCTGTTAGAATAAATATAGTTGATTCTGATTAAAATCAAACCCATGTGTCAGTAAAACTGGAATGAGGGATATCATTGCTGCTGTCAGATGGATCTTGGCTGAGAGCAGAGAATATCAGAAAGATGCTTACTTACATTTCATTGACTATGCAAAGGCATTTGACTGTGTGGACCATAAAAAACTATGTGTTACCTTGAGAAGAATGGGAATTGCAGAACACTTGATTGCGTTCATATGGAACTTGTACATAAATCAAGATGCAATTGTGTGAACAAAACAAGTGAATAATGCACGGTTTAAATTCAGGAAAGGTGTGTATCAGGGTTGTATCCTCTCACCATATGTACTCAATCTCTATGCTGAGCAAATAATCAAAGAATCTAGCTTATAAGAAGAATAATGTGGCATCAGCATTGGAGGAAGGCTTAGTAACAACCCGAGATGTACACATGACACAACTTTGCATACTGAAAATGAGGAGGACTTGAAGCACTTGCTGAGGAAGGTTACGGATTGAAGTCTTCAGTGTGTAAGACTCAATGTAAAGAAGACCAAACTCCTTACAACTGGACCGATAGGTAACAATAATAAATAGAGAAAAGATTTCAGTCATCAAGGATTTTGTGTTGCTTGCATCCACAATTAATGTTCATGGAAGCAGCAATCAAGAGATCAAAAGACACATTGCATTAGGTAACTCGGCTACATAAGACCTCTTTAGAGTATTGAAAAGCAAGGATGTTACTTTGAAGACTAGTGGGTGTCAAGCCATGGTATTTTCCATAGCCCAATATGCATGTGAAAGTTGAACAGTGAATAAGGAAGATCAAAGAAGAATTAATGCATTTGAATTGTGGTGTTGGAGAAGAATATTGAAAGTATAGTGGTCTGCTAAAAGGACAAATTGATCTGTATTGGAAGAAGTAAGGCTAGATCGCTCCTTTAAGGCAAAGATGGTAAGATTTCTTCTTATATACTTTGGAAATATTGTCAGGAGAGACCAATCCCTGGAGAAGGATATCAGACTTGATAAAGTGGAGGGGAAGCAAAAAACAGGAAGACCCTGGATGAGATATATTGACACAGTGGCTGCGGCAATGGGTTTAGGGATAGGAACAATTACAAGGACTATACAGTGTTTCATTCTATTGTGTATAGGGTTTCTATGGGTCAGAATCAACTAAAGGCACCTAACAGCCAGCAGCAACATTTGCCATTTATACCATTTTTAAACCTTATACACAGATGACCAACAACTCAATTAATACCACTTTTAGTTAATGTAGTAGTCCTGGTGGTGTAGTGGGTTACGATTTGGGCTGCTAACTGCTAGGTCAGCAGTTTGAAGCCACTCCATGAGAGGAAGAGGAAGCTTTTTGCTCCTGAAAGATTTATAGTATCCCACAGGGACAGTGTCTACTCTGCCTCACAGGTCATTATGAATGGGGATTGACTTGATGGCAATGAGTAGGTGAGTGAGGTGTCACAATTTCTGAATTAAAGATAGATACAACTATTTTCCATTTCAACCGTTTTTATGTGAACAATTCCATGACATTAACTAGATTTCCCAAGTTGTGAAGCTATTACCACTGTTCCCAAAGTTCATCCCCCTCAACAGAAACTCAATAACAATCTGTAAATATTTTCTTTGCTTATTCACTTAATTCGTATTTCTTCCACCAGAAATAAAGTTAAGAGCATGAGGTTTGCTTATCTCTGTTTTCATTGTAAGTTCAGGGTCTATTCTAGTTCTGACATATAATAGATGCTGAATACATTT